AAATTCATTCTGTAGAGAAGGCTGGCCTCAAACTTAGAGGAATCCACCTGCCTCTGCCTCTCTAGTGCTGGGATTAAAGACATGAGTGGGCAGTAATGGTTCTTAAAACAGGACTTAGAAAGGTAAGCAACAAGTAAAGGGTATACTCTTACCACCTTCCTATGTTACTTTGTCCCTAGAAAATATGTCATTTGCTCAGTCACCAAACTTTTGTAGAATTTTAATTTTCTATAAAAATTAGACAAACGGGACTCTGGAAATTCCCTGTCTAGCAGGTAGATGGGCACATAAGTAACCTTCACAAGAGACAAGGACTAGATCTCAGATTTTATAAATAAGGTCAGATGAAAGTCATCCTCTGAATAAAAAATTCAACATAAAAAGATGAAGTTAGCTAAGTGGAGAAGATACCGAACAGATGGTTTCTAACCTTGCTGTCCATTGAGATAGTTACAAGCCGTTAGAGTCCCATGAGACAAGGCCAACCTGCAGATGGAGTGACAGTGTTCCTGAAGCAGGCTGTGTTCTCTGCAAATGGTTAACATCATCTGGAGAGCTTCTCTATGAGAATTAGTCTGAATGAGCTTTCTTTCTACGACCCTGGCTTTGGCTCCTGGTCTACCAGGGACTTCTTGTCTTCTGACGTATCATGTACTTTATTTTGGCTCTGCATCTCTTTGGCTTCTGGAAGTAGGCTTTCCATCTCACCCACATTTTCACAGCCTCCCACTCCCTAAATGAACGTGTGCCTGCCACTCACAGCCTGTCCAGGTCTTTCTCTGTCCTCTAGTGTATGTGGTGAAATGAGATGGCCTGGTTAGGGAAGTATTCCTTAAATCAGAGTCACCTGCCCAATTATGTGATCTAAAATGAATGATATCTCTACAGAAAGATTGTCTACATGGAGTGCAGAAAATAATCACCACTGCAGCTTCACAGGAAGGGCTGTGACCCATGTGCCCTTGAAATTTGGGTAAACACAGGAATGGTCCTGTCAGGCAACACTAGCTATTTTGACCATATGACAAATTGTGGTCTGATTCTTGTGTTCACCAAGCAATTATTCTAGTCACTTAGCGTCCCAGGTAACCTCTTCTCTAAAGAAAAGCAGTGTTGTTATTGGTGTTGTAAGTCAGCACTCTACCTCTGAGCGACACCTCCAGTCTACTGTATGTGAGCCTTTAAACGGTTTTTGTTTATTTTGAAAATCCTTTTTCTAGTTATGAAATTCACACAGATTTAGTGTTGGAAACTTTGGGGAAACATACAAATGTGTAAATAGTAGGAAATAATGGAAATCAAAAAGCTGAAGAAACCAGGGAGTATATTGACAAGATATTCCTTTCCGAAATCCTATAACTAGGTTTTTGGACATTGGCTGTACACAGTCACTCACACCCAGACATGAAATTCATTGATCAAAGTGGGCTCACTTGGCATTCAGGCAAAAATATAAGGTTTTATGAGATTCACTTGTAGATTGACCACTTTAACCTCAGTTTTTCTCAAGTTTTAGTCCATACATATATATGCCTGTATCAGAACCACCTCAAGCAACTCTGAACATGAAAATTTCTGGGGCACCCTGAAGACCTATTAAACAAAAATCTCTGGGTGTAGGATAAACAGTGTACATCTGAATATATACTCCTTGGGTGATCCTCATGCACACTGAAGTTTGAGAACCGCTGGAAGAAAGCTACTAGGCATGGTGGAAATAGATGGTATGAATGTGGTCATTTTAAAGCCTGTCTGAAGAAACCTGGATGCTTATGGGTGGGTAGCAGAAATGAACACTGGTACAACCACTCTAGAAAATGGCAGGACCTGGTTATTGAGTTGGCTCACCTGATAAAGGCAACTGCCACCAAGCCTGACAGCCTGAATCTGATCCTTGGGACCTGTATGATAAAAGAGAGAACCAACTCTCTGAGGTTGGTCTCTGACCTCTATGTGTGTGCTATAGCAGGCAGACAGATGCATGCACGTGCATGCATGCGCACACACACTCATGCGCATAGGCACACACACACACACACACACTCATACATTCTCACATGGGGTGGAGCCCACACAGAGACAAATACTCTTCAGCTCAGGGGCATCTAGGTTGCTTCCATGTTTTGGCTATTACAAATAATGAAGCTATGAACTTAGTAGAACAGACATCCTTCTTGTATGAATGTGCATTTTTTGGTTATATGCCTAAGAGTGGAATTGCTGGGTCTTGTGATAGACTGATTCCCATTTTCCCGAGGAATCTCCAAAGTGGCTGTAAGAGTGAACACTCCCACCAGCAGAGAAGGAGTGTATCCCTTTCTCCACATCCACTCCAGCATAAACTGTCATTGGTGTTTTTGATTTTAGCCATTCTGACAGGAGTGAGACGGTATCTCAGAATTGTTTTGATTTGCATTTCCTAGATGTCTAAGGATGTTGAGTACTTTCTCAAGTGTCTCTCAGCCATTTTAGACTACTCTAATGATAATTTTCAATTTAGTCCTGTATCCCACTTTTTCATTGCATCCTTTAGTGTTTTAGAGACTCACTTCTTGAGTTCTTTGTAAATTTTTGAGATCAGTCCTCTGTCAGATGTGGGGTTAGTGAATATCTTTTCCCAATCTGTGGAATGCCTTTTTGTCTTCCTGAATGTGTCCTTTGCCTTACAGAAGCTTCTCAGTTTCAGAAGGTTCCATTTATTAACTGTTGATCTTAGTGTCTGGGCTACTGGTATTTTCTTCAGGAAGCATTCTCCTGTACCAATTCATTCAAGGGTACCTCCTAATTTCTCTTCTAACAGGTTCAGTGTTGCTGGATTTATGTTGAGGTTTTTGATCCATTTGGACTTAAATTTTGTGCATGGTGAGAGACATGGATCTATTGGAAGTCTTCTACATGCCAGCTGCCAGTTATGCCAGAACCATTTATAGAAGATGCTTTCTTTTTCCATTGTATAATTTTAGCTTCTTTGTCAAAGATCAGGTGTTCATACATGTATGGGTTAATGTTGGAGTGTTCATTTTGATTCCATTAGTCTATCTGTATATTTTTGTGCAAATGCCAAGCTGTTTTCAAGACTATAGCTCTATAATACAACTTGAAGTCAGGTATGGTGGTCTCTCTGGACTTTGACTTGTTGAACAGGGTTGTTTTGGCTATACCTGTCTTTTGTTTTTCCATATAAAGTTGATTATTGTTCTTTCAAGGTCTGTGAAGAATTGTGCTGCGATTTTAATGGGATTATGTTAAATCTGTATATTTCCTTCAGTAAGATTGCCACTTTTACTATGTTGATTGAACCTATCCACGAGCATGGGAGATTTTTCCATATCTGATGTCTTCTTTAATTCTTTTCTTTAGAGACTCAAAGTTCTTGTGATACAGGTCTTTCACTTGTTTGATTAGTATTACCCCAAGGAATTTTATGTTGTTTGTGGCTATTGTAAAGGGTAATGTTTCTCTGATTTCTTTCTCAGCCCTTTCATCATCTGTATATAGTAGGGCTATTGATTTTCTAGAGTTGATCTTGTATCCTGCCACTTTGCTGAAAGTATTTCTCAGCTGTAGGAGTTCCCTGGTAGAGGTTTTTGGGTCACTTACATAAACTATCATATAATCTGCAAATAGTGAAAGTTTGATTTCTTCCTTTCCAATTTATATCCCTTTGATTTCCTTTTGTTGTCTTATTGCTGTAGCTAGAACTTCAAGGACAATATTGAAAAGGTATGGGGAGAGTGGACAGTCTTGTCTTGTTCTTGATTTTAGAGGAATCACTTTGAATTTCTCTCCATTTAGTTTCATGTTGGCTGTTGGTTTGCTGTATATAGCTTTTATTATGGTTAGGTATGTTCCGGTTATTTGGATCTCTCCAAGACCTATATCATGGAAGGGTGTTGAATTTTGTCAAAGACTTTTTCTGCATCTAGTGAGATGATCATGTGGTTTCTTCTGTGCAGTTTGTTTATATGGTGGATTACATTGAGAGATTTTTGTATGTTTAATCATCCCTGCATCCCTGGGATGAAGCCTACTTGATCATGGTGGATGATTTTTCTGACGTGTTCTTGGATCCGATTTGCTAGTATTTTATTGAGTATTTTTGCTTCGATGTTCATAAGGGAAATTGGTCTATAGTTCTTTTTCTTAGTTGTGTCTTTGTGTGGCTTGGGTACCAAGGTAATTGTAGCCTCGTAAAAAGAGTTTGGCAGTGAGCCTCCCGCTTCTATTGTGTGGAACACTTTGAGAAGTATTGGAATTAGCTCTTCTCTAAATTTCTGGTAGAATTCTGCAGTGAAGCCATCTGGGCCTGGGATTTTTTTGGTAGGGAGACTTTTTATGACTGCTTCTATTTCAATGGGTGTTATATGTCAGTTTAGATTGCTTATCTCTTCTTGATTTAGTTTTGGCAAGTGATATATATCCAGGAAATTGTCCATTTCCTTTAAATTTTCGAATTTTGTGGAGTACAGATTTTCAAAGTATGCCCTGATGATTCTCTGGATTTCCCCAGAGTTCATTGTTATGTCCCCTTTTTCATTTCTGATTTTGTTAATTAGCATGCTCTCTGTCTTTTGGTTAGTTTGGATGAGGTTTGTCTATTTTGTTGATTTTCTCAAAGAACCAACTCTTTGTTTCATTGATTCTTTTCAATGCTTTCCTGGTGAAAGATCCCTGCCCAGGGCCCCCTAGGAAAAGAAAAACAAGGCCAGGCTGTTGCCTAATGAAAAAACCCAGACCAGGTGCCTCGCCTAGCTGGCAGGATGTCAAACAGGATCTGTGGTCACTAGAGCAGTCATGGGGCCCGGATAATAATTTCTGAAGCGTGCCAGGGTCTTTCATGAGGTAATACCAGGAAACTTAGTCCGTGGGAACTACCCCTGCCCCCAAGATGAGCCAATGAAATGCCTGTTGCTATGCTGACACTTATGTAACCATTAAAACTCTATAAATATTGTACTCCCTGCAAGCCCGGTATGCTCTGCACCCGAGTTGCAGTAGCATCCGCAGGCGCCTGTGTACTCAAAAAATTACCTCCTGAATTTGCAGCCAGTGGTCTGGCCCCGGTTCTTGGGCAGAGGATTTGGTTCAGTGCCCGACGCTTTCATGCCGAGGTCTTTCATTGGTTTCTACTTGATTGATTTCAGCCCTCAATTTGATTATTTCCTGGAGTCTGCTCCTCCTGGGTGAGTTTGCTTCTTTTTATTCTAGAACATTCAGCTGTGATATTAATTCTCTAGTATGACTGTTCTCCAGTTTCTTCATGTGGGCACTTAGTGCTATCAACTTTCCTCTCAGCACTGCTTTCAAAGTGCCCCATAAGTTTGTGTATGTTGTGTCTTCATTCTCATTGAATTCCAGGAAGTTTTTAATTTCTTTCTTTATTTCTTCCTTTACCCAGGGATGGTGCAATCATGCACTGTTCAATTTCCATGAGTTTGTAGGGTTTCTGTGATTTGTGTTATTGTTGAATTCTAATTTTAATGCATGGTGGTCTGCTAAGATATAGGGGGTTATTCCAATTTTTTTTGTATCTGTGGAGATTTGCTATGTTTCCTATTATGTGGTCAATTTTAGAGAAGGTTCTATGTGGTGACAAGAAGAAGGTATATCCCTTTGTGTTTGTGTGGAATGTTCTGTAGATGTCTGTTAAACCCAGTTGGGTCATAACTTCTATTAGTTCTTTTGTTTCTTTGTTAAGTTTCTGTCTGCAGGTCCTGTCTAGCAGTGAGAGCAGAGTGTTAAAGTCTCCTACTATTATTGTGTGAGATTTTATGTGCATTTTGAGCTTTAGTAATGTTTCTTTCACAAATGTAGGTGCCTTTGTATTTGGGGCATAGATGTTTAAAATTGAGACTTCATCTTGATGGACTTTTCCTTTGATGAATATGTAGTGTCCTTCTTCACCTCTTATGATTGATTTTAATTTGAAGTCTAGTTTGTTAGATATTAGGATTGCTACACCTGCTTGTTTCTTGGGTCTGTTTGATTGGAAAATCTTTTCCCAACCCTTTACTCTGAGATAACGTCTGTCTTTGATGTTGAGATGCGTTTCTTGTATGCAGCAGAAGGAAGCGTTCTGTCTTCGTATCCATTCTGCTAGTCTGTGTCTTTTTATAGGCAAGTTGAGGCCATTGACATTGAGGGATATTAATGACCATAAATTGATGATTCTTGTTTGTGCTTGATTTATTGGTAGTAAAGTTATTTTGTGTAGTTTCTTCTCCCTTTTTCTTTTGGTGTTTTGTAAAGTGGGATTATATATTGCCTGTGTCTTTGTGAGTATTGTTATCTTGCTTGGATCTAGGTTTTCCTTCTAGCACTTTCTGTAGAGTTGGATTCATGGATAAGTATTGTTTAAATCCGGCTTTGTCATGGAATATTTTGTTTTCTCCATCTATGGTAATTGAAAGCTTTGCTGGATATAGTTGTCTGGGATGGCATCCTTGTTCCCTTAGCGTTTGTAGGACATCTGTCCAGGATCTTCTGGATTTCACCGTTTCCATTGAGAAGTCAGGTGTAATTTGGATAGGTCTGCCTTTATATGTTACTTGGCCTTTTTCTTTAGCTGCTCTTAATATTTTCTCCTTATTCTGTAGGTTTGATGTTTTGATTATTATATGGCGAGGTGACTTCTTTTTCTGGTCCAGCCTATTTGGTGTTCTGTAAGATTCTTATATTTTCATAGGCATATCCTTCCTTAGGTTAGGGAAGTTTTCTTCTATGATTTTGTGGACTATGTGTTCTGTACCTTTGAGCTGTATTTCTTCACCTTCTTCTATACCTATTATTCTCAGGTTTGGCTTCTTCAGAGTGTCCCATATTTCCTGGATATTTTGTGTTAGGCATTTGTTGGTTTTGAGATTGTCTTTGGTTGACGACTGTATATCCTCTAATGAGTCTTCAACACCTGAGATTCTCTCTTCTATCTCTTGTAGTCTATTGGTGATACTTGTATCTGTAGTTCCTGATCATTTACCCAGCTTTTCTATTTGCAGCATCCCCTCATTCTGTGTTTTCTTGATTGTTTCTATTTCAGCTTTCAATCCTTCAACTGTTTGAATTGTTTCCTTCATTTCTTTGGTTGTTTTTTCTTGGTACTCTTTAGATTCTTCAAGAGATTTGTTTATTTTTTGAATTTTGGTTTGCCTTTTCCTTCATTTCATGTATTTTTTGTTTGATTTTTCTTCCATTTCTTTAAGGGATTTCCTTATTTCCTCTTTGAGGGTCTCTGTCATCTTCATAAAATAATTTTAAGGTCTGTCCCTTCTGCTTCATCTATGTTGTGCTTTTCAGGTCTTGCTGGCATTGGGTCTCTAGATTCTAGTGGAGTCGTGTTGGTCTTTGTATTGCTGAGTGAGCTCTTATTTTGTCTTCTTCCCATCTCTTCTTCCAGTTGGTGCAGGTGGGCTCTTTCTGTCTCCAATGGTCTCCTTCTTTCTTGAAGCTGAAGCTGGGGATGCCTGAGGGTGGGGTCTGGAAAGACTGAGGCCTTTCCTGTGTGGCGGATCCTCTGGATGCCAGGAGGGCCCCCCTGAAAGATTGAGGTCACTAGTGATGTGCAGGGTAGTGTTCCCAGGGGTACCCAAGCTCACATGAAGCTGGGGACGCTGGAAGGTATGGTCTGGAAAAGCTGAAGCCTTTTCTTTTTGGGCGGATCCTCTGGATGCCAGGGCCAGGCCCCCAGAATATTGAGGGAGTGGGTGATGGGTGGGGGAGTGGTCCCAGGGGGAGCCAAGTCACTAATCTGAATAAAGGGAAGGCCCATTCATGCACCCTCTCCACTACTGCTAGGAGTCTTAAGTGGAGTCATCCTTGTGGATTCCTGGAGATTGCCCAAGCACCATGTTTCTCCATAACCTCATAATGAATGGCTCCCTCTATCAAGATATCTATTTGGTTGCTCTCCCTCTCTGATCCTCCCTCAACTCAGCCTTCTTCATCCCTCATGTTCCCATCCCCCATATCCTCCCTACCACTATCCCCTCCCCCAGTTTACCCAGGAGATCTTAATCATTTTCCCTTCATGGGGCTCTCCATGTATATTCCTCCTAGGGTCACCTTTTTTACCTAACTTCTCTGGGGTTGTAATTTCTTGTCCGGTTATACTTTGCTTTACATCTAATATCCACTTATGAGTGAATATATACCTTGTTTGTCTTTCTGGGTCTGTGTTACCTAACTCAGGATGGTTTTTTCTAGTTCCATCCATTTGCCTTCAAATTACAAAGTGTCATTGTTTTTTACACTTTCTTTATCAATTCTTCTGTTCGGGGGTATCTAGGTTGTTTCCAGGTTCTGGCTATTACAACTAGTGTTGCTATGAATATAGTTGAGCAAATGTCCTTGTGGTATGATTGTACGTTCTTTGGGTATATGCACAAGAATAGTATTACTGAATCTTGAGTTAGATTGATTCCTGATTTTCTGAGAAACCACTATACTGATTTCCAAAGTGGCTGTACAATTTTGCACTCCAACCAGCAATGGAAGAGTGTTCCCCTTACTCCACATCCTTTCCAGCATAAGCTCTCATCCGTGTTTTTGATATTAGCTATTCTGATAGATGTAAGATGGTATTTCAGAGTTGTTTTGGCTTGTATTTCCCTGATGGCTAAGATGTTGAACAATTCCTTAAATGTTTTTTGGCCATTTAGGTTTCTTTTGTTGAGAATTCTCTGTTAGATCTGTACCAAAATTTTTAATTGGAATATTTGGTGTTTTGGTGTGTAGTTTATTGAGTTCTTTATATATTTTGGAGATCAGCGCATCTGTCGGAAATGCGGTTGGTGAAGATCTTTTCCCATTCTGTAGGTTGCTATTTTGTCATATTGGCCATATACTTTGCCTTACAGAAGCTTCTTGGTTTCAGGGGGTTCCATTTATTGATTGCTACTCTCAGAGTCTGCGCTACTGTGTCCCAACCCATGGGACATTCAACATAGGCCTTGGGGGCACCTAGCAGAAAGATGAAGGACAAGAGATACGAGAAAGGATGACAAGACAGGATTCTGATAAAGTCGACAAACCTTTATTTTTTCCAAGGGGTTTTTAAAGACTGTAGGAGGAAGTGAGGAGGGGAGGGAATGAGGGTGATGACTGTGGCTGCAAGGAAACTGTCAGGGCAATAGGTTAGTGGGAGAGGTAGAGCCACCTGTGTTGTCTGGTAACCTAACAGCAGGGTCTGGTCCTATCTTTTACAATTTATTGTCTTTGTTTAGGCCTACCCTCTGATGGACTAGGGAGTCTCCATTAAGCTAATATTTAACTGACAGATAAACCGTAGGCCTGTTTCCTGGAATTTGCTCTATGTCAAAAGAGGTGGCAGGGTGGTCTGGAGTCACGTCTTCTTTATGAGGATGGAGTCACATCTTCTCTATGAGGACGTGATGCTGTGGGATCTGGCTTATGGCAAAGGCCTCTGACACTACTGGTGTTATATTTAGGAAGTTGTCCCTGTGCCCATGCATGCAAGGCTACTTCCCATTTTCTCTTCTGTGAGGTTCAGTGTGGCTAGATTTATGTTTAGTTCTTCGATACATTTGGACTTGAGTTTTATGCATGGGGATAGACATGGATCTATCTGTAGTCTTCTACATGCAGTTATGCAAGCATCATTTGTTGGAGATGCTTTCTTTTCTCCATTGTATAGTTTTAGCTTCTTTGTCAAAGATCAGGCATTCAAAGGTGTGTGGGTTTATATCAGTGTCTTCAATTTGATTCCATTGGTCTACCTGTCTATTTTTGTGCCAATACCAAGCTGTTTTCAGAACTATAGCTCTATAATAGAGCTTGAAGTCAGAGATGATGATGTCTCTGGAAGTTCCTTTCTTGTACAGGATTGATTGTATTGGCCATCCTGTTTTTTGTTTGTTTTGTTTTTCCATATGAAGTTGAATATTGTTCTTTTGAAGTCTGTGAAGAATTGTGTTCAGATTTTGATGGGGATTGCAGTGACTCTGTAGATTGATTTTGGCAAGATTGCCATTTTTACTATGTTGAATTTACCTATCCAAGAGCAAGGGAGATCTTTCCATTTTCTGTTATCTTCTTCAATCTCTTTCTTCAAAGAGTTAAAGTTATTGTCACACAGGTCTTTCACTTGTTTGATTAGAGTTGTCCCAAGATATTTTATGTTATTTGTAGCCGTTGTAAAGTGTGATGTTTCTCTGATTTCATTATCAGC